ATACAATCTGACCTGAAGGATGCTGGTAATTCACATACCCTGTGGGGTGAGTGAAGGGCACATCTCTGGCTATGGGTCCAGGGAAGTTCCACAATGGTCTTGGCCACCTCAGCCAAATAGAAGACTCCTTCTTAAGGGCAAATGCCCATCTCCCGCATTAATCATAGAGTCATAGAAGATTAGGGTTGGAAGAGACCTCAGGAGGTCATCTAGTCCAACCCCCTGCTCAAAGCAGGAGCAAGGATTACTAAGCATAAGCAAAACATCCACAGTGCTTGGGCTGGGTTAGCCCTAAAGAAGATATAGAGCTTGCTTAGAAGCTCCCATTGCTTTTTGAAACTTCTTTGTGTGTGTGTGTTTCCCTGCCTTAACCTTGTAAACAACTCATTTCTTCTCCTAGTTAATAAATCCTTAGATAATTTATTACAGGATTGGCTACAAGCATCTTTGGTGTGAGTTCTAAGGTGCAATTGACCTGGGAGAAGTGGCTGGTCCTTTGGGACTGGAAATAACCTGAATGCTGTTGTGATTTTTGATGTAAGGGGCCATCTAGCGCAAAGGTAAGCTCACCTAGCTGTCAAAATAGACCAGAGTACCCAAGGGGACTGTCTGTGACTCCATGGTTAGGCTGTGTATAATGCCTGAAGAGTTTACACTTGTTACATGGTTGGTGAAATCAAAGTATAGAATTCACAGCCAATCTGCTGTGCCCTGCTTCCTAACAGTCTGCCCTAAGCCTGGTACTCACGCACTTGAGCCACGGCAGGACAGCTTGCCATAGACCAAGGCAGGCCAAGAGCAGAGTCTGTGATTCACTCTAGCCATCTTGGCTGTGGTGCTGGTGGATGCCTCAAGCACAGCACAGCCCTTGGGCAGGATGTTCCCATCTGACATTGAGACAAAATGGCACAAAGGATAAAAGGGATGTGACTCAAAGTCATGAGAATCTCCTGGGCTGATCTCTCTGCTCCGGGGCATAGGCGTGCGCACGGCGTGTGCCGTGTGTGCCCCGGCACACCCTAATGCCCTGAGCTCCGGCTGGGAAGGCTGCTCCTCCCCTCCTCAGCTGTTTGCTGGGCAGGCTCAAATCAACTGCTTCCTGCCTCCCTGCTCCGGCAGGGGCAGCGTGAGTCTCACACACACACAAAAAAAAGCCTTAGGGTTACGTGTGGGCGGGAGTGCGGGGCTATCAGCAGCAGCACAGCCAGCCCCTGCTTACCTAGGGCCGCCCCGCACCTCTTGGGCTGGTGGCCATGGTGTCCACGTGTATGGTTGCTCCCTGCCAGCCAGGCTCCACTCCGGCCACAGAAGGCAGCAGGTGACCCAAGGGAGCCCAGCTAGGCTAGGGCTGGGTGCAGTGGGAGAAGCTCTAGATACCAGCAGGAGCCATGCAGGGGTGGGGGAAGAGAAGCCTCAGACGGGGCTGGAGCCACATGGTGGAAGGGAGTGGGGGTGGAGAAGCCCGGACCCCGGCAGGAGCTGCACTGGGGGGGAGGGGAGAGAAGCCCGGACCCCGGCAGGAGCTGCACGGGGGGGGAGGGGGGCGACGGAGGAGCCACACTGGGGCAGGGAGGAGAAGCCCTGGACCCTGGCAGAAGATGTGGGGTTGAAGTCCCCATCTCGGGAGCCCCAGCCACCCTAGTGGCAAAAGTTGCAGGGCTGAAGCCCTGACACCACTCTGTGTGGAGCTGGCCTGAGCCCCTCTGTCTCCCATCCCACCTGTGGAGCTGGGGCTGCATGCTTCTGCAGGGCAGTGTTTGGCTCTGCGGGGAGGCTAGGACCCTCATCTCATGGTAAGGGGTCCAGGGGGGTTGGATAAGGGGTGGGGGCAGTCAGGGGACAGGGAGCAGGGTGGGTTGGATAGGGGATGGGATCCCGGGGGGGGGGCTGGGGGCAAGGGGCTGGGGGGGTTGGATGAGTCAGGAGTTCTGGGAGGGTTGTCAGGAGGCAGGGGTTGGAAAGGGGTTAGGGGAGGCAGGGAGCAGAGGGGGTTGTATGGGTCAGGAGTTCTGGGGGGGGGCTGTCAGGGGGTGGGGAGCGGTTGGAGAGGCGGGCAGTCCTGGGGGTCTGTCTAGGGACAGGGATGTGGATAAGGGTCGGGGCAGTCAGGGAACAGGTAGGGGGTAGGGTCCTAGGGGGGCAGTCAGGGGACAAGGAGCAGGGAGGCTTAGATAGGGGGAGGGGTTCTGGGGAGCAGTTAAGGGCAGGGGTCCCAGGAGGTGGTAGTCAGGGGACAAGGAGCAGGTGGGGTTGGGGGTTCTGAGGGGGGCAGTCAGGGGGCGGGAAGTAGGAGGGAGTGGATGGGGGCAAGATGAGGATGGGGCTAGGGCAGGGTGGGGCTCCCTGGGTGCACACCCTAATGAAATGGGCTGCGCACTCCTATGCTCTGGGGGGAGGAGGGAGCCCATCCAGCAGGCCAGTGGCTGTGGTGGGAGGGGGGCACAGAACATCCCCTGCCCCAATGCTCCAAAGCAGTTTTCAAATGATAGTTTAGCCTGGCCCCAGACAGTCACATTCTTGACCCATAACTGGTTACACTCCAAGGCTGCAGGATGGGCAGAGTGACATTAACTGTCCCTAGAATTGGGACTTGCAGAGTATGATGGGAAGGAAGCCCATCTTCATCTGTCTACATGAGTAACTGCTGGTCTCACCACAGCCCCAACTCCTGCAGTATTCACAGCTGGGGTGGGAGAGAAACAGAATTTTAGTTTGCAGGCCACTGTAAAACAAATTGAAAAAATAATTTGGGGTTGATCAAAAATGACTTTTTTTGAAAATTTTGGCTAAGTTAAAAGTTTAAAAAAATAGAAAAATTCATATTGAATGAAACAATTTTGGATTTTTTGACATTTTCACAATGTTTTATATTTTTTATACATACATTAAAGGAAATTTGTAAATGAAAGATAATTGCAAATTGAAAAAAACAAAATGTTCAGTGTAGAAAATGTTGAAACAAAATGTATTATGTGTGTTTGTGTTTGGAACAACTTGGTGAAATTGATGTGAATTTGTAAAATGTTTTGGTATCTCCGAGTCTATTTTTCACTGTTGTATTTGTGTGATGAGGAACATGTGTAATCACTCAGGGTATGTCTACACTACGAGAGTAGTTCGATTTTACTTAAATTGAATATGTGGAATCGATATTACAAAGTCGAACGTGTGTATCCACACTAAGGACAGTAATTCGACTTTGTGAGTCCACACTAACGGGGCAAGCGTCGACATTGGAAGCGGTGCACTGTGGGCAGCTATCTCACAGTTCCCGCAGTCCCCGCTGCCCATTGGAATTCTGGGTCGAGCCCCCAATGCCTTCTGGGGAAAAAAATGTGTCGAAGGTGGTTTTGGGTAACTGTCGTCATCCAACCGTCACTCCCGCCCTCCCTCCCTGAAAGCGCCGGCGGGCAATCAGTTCGCGCACTTTTCTGGTGAGTGACAGCGCGGACGCCACAGAACTGCGAGCATGGAGTCCGCTGCGACCATCGCTGCAGTTATGGCCATTGTCAACACCTCGCACCTTATCATTCACCTTTTCCAGAGGCAGATGCTGAGAAATCGGGCGAGGAGGCTACGGCAGCGCGGTGAGGACATGAAGTCTGAGAGTGGCACAGACCTGTCACAAAGCACGGGACCCCACGCCGTGGACATCATGGTGGCAATGGGTCATGTTGATGCTGTGGAACGGCGATTCTGGGCCCGGGAAACAAGCACGGACTGGTGGGACCGCATAGTGCTGCAGGTCTGGGATGAATCACAGTGGCTGCGAAACTTTCGCATCCGGAAGGGAACTTTCCTGGAACTTTGTGAGCTGCTGTCCCCTGCCCTGAAGCGCAAGGACACCCGGATGCGAGCAGCCCTGACTGTCCAGAAGCGAGTGGCCATAGCCCTCTGGAAGCTTGCAACGCCGGACAGCTACCGGTCAGTCGCGAACCACTTTGGCGTGGGCAAATCTACCGTGGGGGTTGTTGTCATGCAAGTAGCCAACGCAATCGTTGAGGTACTGCTCTCAAAGGTAGTGACCCTGGGAAACGTGCAGATCATCATAGATGGCTTCGCCGCGATGGGATTCCCAAACTGCGGTGGGGCTATAGATGGAACTCACATCCCTATCCTGGGACCGGACCACCAGGCCAGCCAGTACATTAACCAAAAGGGCTACTTTTCAATGGTGCTGCAAGCACTGGTGGACCATAGGGGACGTTTTACAAACATCAACGTCGGATGGCCGGGCAAGGTTCATGACGCTCGTGTTTTCAGGAACTCTGGTCTGTTTAGACGGCTGCAGGAAGGTATTTACTTCCCGGACCACAAAATAACTGTTGGGGATGTGGAGATGCCTATAGTGATCCTCGGGGACCCAGCCTACCCGCTAATGCCCTGGCTCATGAAGCCCTATAATGGCGCCCTGGACACTGAAAAAGAACTCTTCAACTACCGGCTGAGCAAGTGCAGAATGGTGGTGGAGTGTGCTTTTGGACTTCTCAAGGGGAGATGGAGAAGCTTACTGACTTGCTGTGATCTCAGCGAAACCAATATCCCCATTGTTATTGCAGCTTGCTGTGTGCTCCACAATCTCTGTGAGAGCAAGGGGGAGACCTTTATGGCGGGGTGGGAGGTTGAGGCAAATAGCCTGGCTGCTGATTACGCCCAGCCAGACAGCCGTGTGATTAGAAGAGCCCAGCGGGACGCGCTGTGCATCCGGGAGGCTTTGAAAGCTAGGTTCCTGAGTGAGCAGGGTAACCTGTGACTATTAAGTTTGTTTACAGAGAAGCTGAACCTGCCCCCGTTTCTTTACCCAGTGAATGTTCACTATCCTCTCCAGTTACATATCCCGTTCCCCCCATTCCCCCCCTTCCAACACACGTTTAAAAATAAAATCACTGGAAATTTGTTAATGAACACCGTTTTCTTTATTACTGTTTTCACGGTAAAGTGTTGAAACTGGGACGCAGACTGTGGTGGGGAGCGGGTGTAGTGTAGTGATGCAAAGGACGCTTCTAAACTCGAGGAATGACAGGCTCCTGCTCCTACAGCGGTCCGCACTGGTGGACTGGTTGTTTCAACGGAGCCTGCCACCCCTCCTGTTCGGGACTCTGTGTGTGGGGGCTATGTGACTTTGTGGCAGGGGGAGGACGGTTACAGATCCCCTGCTGCGTGGCTCTGTGATCCAGGATAAGGACCGCTGCATAAGATCTCTAACCGCCCTCCCCCGCCACAAAGTCACATAGCGCCCCCCCCCCACAGAACATGAAAACCACTTCCCAGACTGACCAGGGTGCCTAGTGACTGCAATGTGTGTGTGACCTGCTGCTGAACCTGCCCCCGCGTCTGTACCCTGGTAAAGGTGACTGTCCTCTCCAATTACCAACCCCTTCCCCCCCTTCAAACAGACTCTCCTCTAAAAGAACATGATGGAAACAGTAATTAACAGAAACGTATTTTTTATTAGCAACTACACACTTAGGGGATGAAACTGGGACGGGGGCTTGGGTGAGGCGGGAAGGAAAGGACTTATCAAATTTTGGGGAATGACAGCCTTCTGCTACTTGAGCAGTCTGCAGGGGTGGAGTGAGAGTTTTCACGGACTCTGCCGCCCCTCCTTCTTTGGACTTTGGGTGAGGGGGGTATGGGACTTTGTGGCGGGGGAGGGCGGTTACAGATAGACTGCAGCGGGGCTCTGTCCTCCTGCCTCCGGTCCTGCAGAACATCCACAAGGCGCCGGAGCGTGTCCGTTTGCTCCCTTATTAGTCCAAGCAGCGTTTGAGTCGCCTGCTGGTCTTCCTGCCGCCACCTCTCCTCTCGTTCAATGTGTGATCGATGGATTTAGGACAAGTTCTCCCTCCACTGGGTCTGCTGGGCTGCCTGGGCTCGGGAGCAGCCCATAAGTTCCGAGAACATGTCGTCCCGTGTCTTTTTCTTTCTACACCTAATCTGTGCTAGCCTCTGGGAGTGTGGTGCCAGGGTAGGTCGGGAGACAGTCGCAGCTGTGGGATGGGAAAAAGGGAGTGAATTCCTCAGAAAGATAAATTTTGTTGTGAACAAAGAACATAGTCTTTCTCTATGAAAAAGAACATGCACAGCACCTATCACATGCGCACTCAGGACAAGGTCGAATTTTCGGCCTTCGCATTCAGTGCCTGGGGTCTTGCAGTGCAGATCAGACAAGCGGGGCAGGACAGCGGAATTTGGGTAGCAGGCTGACATGGTAAGCCGTAGACTTGTGGCTGCTTAAAACTTTAATAATAGCACTGGCCTCCTTTCACGTTCAAAGCAATGCTCCTAGCGTTGGCCAGTTCCTGCTGCCAGCAATCCGGCAAGCATGAACTCTGCCCCTGTCCCACCCCCTCGCGGCTGTCCCAGGGAAAGATGCCTGTATACTGCCCCTCTCCCGCCTCCACCGCGTGGCTGTAAACCGCCGGTTACAGTTCTGTAAAGGAACAGGCAAGCAGTCCCAATACTAACATTCCCCTACCTAATTCAAAGCAGGTCACCATGAGCGACATCACTCTGATGAGGATTTCAGAGACCGAGAAAGAACGGATGCTTCGTGAAAGCCTGCAAAAACCAGGGCCGTA